TCGACATCCAGAGGGACTTTGTTGACCCCGGGGGCTTTGGCGAGGTCCAATGCGGCAACGACGAAATCTTCTCCCGGGCACGCGCCATTGTGCCCGCCGTCAAACGAGTCCTCGATGCCTTTCGGTCCTTTGGTGGCCATGTCATCCATACCCGTGAAGGTCACCAGCCAGATCTGGCCGACTTACCGGCATCCAAGAGACTCCGCCAAATCTCGGCTCCCAATGGCCATCATGGGATCGGCATTGGCGATCAAGGCCCGATGGGTCGGCTCCTTGTCAGAGGCGAGTATGGCCACGACATCATCGAAGAGCTTACACCCTGGCCTGGGGAGACTATCATCGACAAGCCCGGGAAAGGGAGCTTCTGGGGAACCGACATCCACAGAGTGCTGCTTAGTCGGGGAGTAACCCACATGCTGTTTGCAGGCGTCACCACAGAGTAACTCGTCCTGTCCCGCTTGTGTTGTCTCTTCTCACATGTGCTATTAGATGCTGCGTCACCTCCACGTTACGTGAGTGCAACGATCGCGGGTACCAGTGCTGCATCTTGGACGACTGTACCCAGGGGTTTGATGTCCAGCAAGTCACCACCTCTCTGGACATTGTGTGTGGCCAGGATGGTCTCTTTGGGTTCATTGGGAGCAGCTGCGACTTTTTCGATGCTATCAACAAATCCCAGATGCAATCAACGCCGCCATCCACTCCACCGCTTCTCGACGACGACGGTCTCCCGCCCATCAGCGAGCTCCTCTCTCGATACAAAAAGGGGATCACATCTCCGGTCGACGTCGTCAACTACACCTTTGACCGCATCGAAAAGTACAAGTCCATTGACCCCGCCGTCTGGATTCACATTGAACAAAGAGAAAAGGTCCTTGCGGCAGCCGAGAAGCTGGCCATCAGGTACTCGGGGAAGCCCCTCCCACCACTGTTTGGTGTCCCCTTTTCGGTCAAGGACACAATCGATGTGCAAGGAGTCGTCACAACAGCAGCCTGCCCCCAGTACGCCTACACACCATCCACCCACGCAGTTGCAGTCCAGCACGTCCTCGACGCCGGCGGCATCTTCATCGGCAAGGCCAACCTCGACCAACTCGCCACCGGCCTTTCCGGCTGCCGCTCCCCCTACGGCATCCCCCACAGCGTCTTCAGCGAGAAGCACATCTCCGGCGGCTCCTCCTCCGGCTCAGTCGTCTCGGTCGGTGCAAAGCTCGTCTCCTTCGGCCTCGCCACCGACACCGCCGGCAGCGGCCGCGTCCCCGCCGCCTTCAACGGCGTCGTCGGCTTCAAGCCAACCAAAGGCACCGTCTCGGCCCGCGGCCTCGTCCCCGCCTGCCGAACCCTCGACACCATCACCGTCGTCGCGCCCACCATCCCCGACGCCCGCCGCGTCTGGCAAATCATCGCCCAGCACGACCGCGACGACCCCTTCTCCAAGCTCCCGCACACCCTCGTCACCTGGAAATCCGACTTCCGCGGCCCGCGCCTCGGCGGCTTCACCTTTGCCATACCCCCCCAACCCTCCCTCGAAGCCTGCACCCCCCAATACCAAGACCTCTTCGCGCGCGCCGTGCAGACCCTCCGCTCCTGCGGCGGCCGCCTCGTCAGCGTGGACTATACCCCCTTCGAAGTCGCCGGCGACCTCCTCTACGAGGGCGCGCTCCTGCACGAGCGCATGACGTGCATCGGGCTCGAGTTCCTGCGGACGCGGCTCGACGAGCTGCACCCGGTGATCAAGGCGCTGTTTGGCGGCGCGCTGGCGGCGCCGCCGTCGGCGTACGACGTGTTCCGCGACCAGGCGCTGCAGGTCCGGCTGACGCGCGCGGCGCAGCAGACGTTTGACACGCTCCGGGGTGGTATCGACGTGCTGGTGGTGCCGACGACGACAAGGCACCCGACGATTGAGCAGATGGTGGCGGATCCGCTGAGGCTGAATTCGCAGCTGGGGACGTTTACGCACTATGCCAATGTCGTGGATCTGTGCGGGGTCAATGTGCCGGCGGGGACGTATGTGGATGGGGAGGGGACGAGGTTGCCTTTTGGGATCACGATGCTCGGGGGGAGCGGGTATGATGCAAAGGTTTTTGATATCGCGGGCGTCGCTGAGGAAGCTTTCAGGGAGGTGGGGAAGGGGGGGTGAAGCTGGGGCGGGGGTGGGTGGCATGGGGGGTCAAGGGGAGCGGGACTGGTGGGGGGAGGAGCATTAGCTGGGGCGAATATCATGGTCGCTTCTCGAGATGTGCCAGGCTGTTGATGACAGAACAGGTGTGCTTGTACAATCCCATTTCACCTCGCCGTCGACAACGCGTCAGCACTGTCTGCCACACCGGTGTCACGGCCGTCTGCGGCATCGTTGGCACCCAGGGATCGGAAGCTGCCTTTGCATCCTTTGCCCCTCCCCTCTGTCAGCACCGGTTCGCTGGTACCACAGAGGCCTTGTTGTGCGGATATGTAGGCGACTCCGGCCGGTGGTAAAACCGAATTGTCGCCATTCGGCGCGACAAGGTGGAATGCGGCTGGCCAGGCCTTCTCGCAATCTCACGCCGTCTTCCCAGAGATTGACAGTAGTCTCTGCTGGCCCGTGGTGGATGAGTCGATCAAGAACTCATCGTGCAGTTCAACAAGCTTGCTGTGGACAAGCAGGTGGGAGGCTCCCAGTCCGGAGAGACGCTTCGACGGGGGATCAAGGCATCGTGCCCGTGTCTTGCCCGGTACCCGCCAGCCTTCCAAAATGATGCCGCCGTATTACCGCGCGGGTTTTGGCGTCGGGCCAGCCCCTCCACATATCCATGCCCGGCCGTCGCCGCACCCGGGCCGCCAACAACACCCCCCTCCTCAAACAGTGGCGACAAGAATACCCGGACCAACCCCCCCCTCGGGCCGACCCCGGCCCACCGACATCGGCAGTGGCGACCTACGCCGTTCGGCGCGGAATATGCAGAGTCAGGGGACGCAACAATCCAACCCGTCCTCAGGAGCTGCTTGACCCCCCGGACACCTTGGCAACAATACCGGCCGTGGACACGGGCCATGAACGGCCAGTGCCGGCCGGTGGATCTTCCACCCCACGACCCCGGTTGGAGCACCTCACCGCGCTGCAGCCCATTGAGGGCAATGCGGCGAGGACATCCGTGTCCGCCGTCGCCGCGGGGGCGGCGACGGGTGCGTGGGGGATGCTAGTGCGCCCATGTTCTCGCGTGATCCACGGGGCTCGCCGGTCCAGGCAGTGGGGTTCCGGTCGGTGGCTGGACCTCAAGAGAGTGAGCAGCGGGCAAGGGATCCTCTAGCGGTTCCACCATGTTCTCAGTGATTGCCGAACCGCTACCCGACGGTGTAGGGTTCGGTACAGGTGTACTGATGGCTCCCTGACAGGTACGCTGAAAGTACCAGGCCGCCGGCCTGGCGGGTCCCCACACCCATCCATGAGACTTTGGCCACCGTGCTGGTGGGCAGCACCTCACGGCCTTGTGACCCCGGCCCCCATCCGGGACGGTGCCCGTGCCCCGGTCACAGAACCGGGGGACCGGCCCCTGCGTGCCCCGGGGCCCACGTCCCGTGCCACAGAAGCCAGCCGGGTTTGCTGGGGGGCAGCGCAGCGGTGCTGCACCCGGGATGGGATGCAGATTGCGTTCTCTCCAGAGACGCCGTCACGGGCGGCGGCGGCGGCGGCGGCGGCGGCTGCGATGATGCGGGAAGTTGGGAGACGGGGACCCCCCCCCCCCCCCCCCCCGATGATCCCCGCACTCTCTCCGTGCCCGGGGAGGAAACCACGGGATCATCCACCCGTTCCGCACGCCGTGTTCCCAACCCCACCCATGTCGGGGCGGGGGGGAACAACCGAAGGGGTGCTGCCAGCAGTTGTGTTGCTGCACGGCGGGTGCCGCAGCACACACACCCACACCCAGGAAAGACCATGGGTTTCGGCATTGCCATGTTTGGCATAAGCATGAGAGCAGGAAGGCTGTGTCGAGGTGGACGATTGAATGGTGGACGTCTCCCGGGACCCACAACAACCTCGGAACGGCGCGGGGGACCTCGCCCTTGAGTCTCTTCTCCCGCTCGAGCGATAGGGCGGCGCGCAGGGTACACCTCCCACGGTTGGTTGATGGCGGCAACTAGCTTGGTAAGGCTTTCGAAGAAGTTCTGTCTCGCTGTAAAGTCCGATGAAGAATTCGTTAAACTCGTCGTGCGAAATGAACCAATGGTTGCACAGCTTCTCGATACGAGGCCATAAGCGGGCGGGGACAGCCGTAGTGTCGGCGATAGCCTGGACGACGTAGCGGCGGGGAAGGGGATGAGGTCAGCGGGGAGGATTCCCCGGGGTTGTTGGCAGGATGATGGCCACCGTCCGTCGGGCTGTACTGTATGTATACACAAAAAGGGAGGTGACGGGACATCGGAATTGCACTGGGCTGAGGGCGTTGACAATCCCGACTCTTTCTCGAAATGCTGGGCATCCCAACTGCCAAAAGTTGCTGACGCCCGATGTTGATGTCCATCCGTTGTCGACGACGTCGTCTCCGATATCCGGGGAAAAAGAGACATGCCCACCGACATCCCGAGGGAGAATGACACCGGACGCAAAAAGAGAACATTAGGAGGACTAGGATTCGAACCCAGGACCTTAGGAACCGGCATTTTAGGTACGTTTCGCTTAGGAGAAAGACCAAATGCAAATTCGCTGACGCTCTGTCCGCTGAGCTACCCCCCCTGAGAGCTGTTCGATACAATGGGGATATGTAAGCCAGTACATACCCTGCGGGGGAGGAGGGGTTCTGGGCAGCAAAAAGAGAACAGACGGGAGAACTGGGACTCGAACCCAGGACCTTAGGAACCGGCATTTTAGGTACGTTTCGCTTAGGAGAAGGACCAAATGCAAATTCGCTGACGCTCTGTCCGCTGAGCTACCCCCCCTGAGAGTTGTTCGGTACAATGGGGTGTAGCGTCTCGGCATATGTACGACGACGGGGAGGGATCCTGAGCAGCAAAAAGAGAACAGACGGGAGAACTGGGACTCGAACCCAGGACCTTAGGAATCGGCATTTTTAGGTATGTTTCGCTTAGGGGAAAGACCAAATGCAAATTCGCTGATGCTCTAACCGCTGAGCTACCCCCCCTGACGGTTGTTCTGTACAATGGGGTGTAGCGTCCCGGCATGTGTAGGACGAGCGAGGGTGCTACGGGAGGTAAAAAGGTGCTCCTGATGGACCTGGGACTCGAACACTGGACCTGGAGAGAGGGAGAGCACCTCGACATATCGCAAGGTGGCTGATGGATAGGATATAGCGGGGAGGAGGAGGGGAACCTGGTCTCGCGAGGAGGACTGGCTCGCTTAGTTTGGAAAATAGCATTATCGTTCCAAGGTATAGTCTGGCGTATTCTCTAAATATTAACACAGGGAGTAACCAAGGTTATATTAAAAGGTATAGCCAAAGTAGTACATCTAGTAATATAACTAAATTACTCTAAGTTACGTATAAAGATTTAAACTAAATACTAGGCCTAGATAGGGCGCGCCTTAGTTAAATACAAGTATAGCGCCTTTATCTATCTATATATCTATCTAGACGATTCCCTACCCTTTCAGGGCCAATCTAGGGGATTCTAGTCCTTTTACTTTACCTAAGCGACTACAGGTCCGTACCTTATATCGCCCCTTTTATAATTCCTAATACTCCCCCTCGCGAAGTAAAGTAAAGCTATTTTACCGGCTTAAGCCCTAATATCTCTACGAATTTTTAGTATTTAACTTAATTAAAGCCCTTAGTAAAGCTATCCGCTATATTCTCCGCGCTTAGTACGTACTCGAGTACTATATGGCCCGCCGTTACTTACTTATTTATATAGTAGTAGGCTACGCTAATATACCTCTTTTATAAGGGGGTAGTATTCTTCGTACTTTAGATAATTACGGCCTTGTTATCTACCTTAACCGGTGTCGGCGCCGTAGGTATATAACCGAACTCCGTAAGGAACTCCTATATCTAAGCGTTCTCCTACGCCGTAAGGTTAATTACCGTATACTCGGCCTCTGTAATACTTTAGGCGACTATCGTCTATCGCTTTAATCCTTATAAGACCGGGCCGCCGGCTATAAAAAATACGAAGCCTATAATAAAATACGTCGTATTACGATTCCCTATATAATTAGAGTTAAAGAACGTAAGGATACCGAGGTCTTCGTTCTTATCCTTACTTTTAGTAAAGGTAATCCCTAAGTTAAGGGCTCTCTTAAAGTATCGTAGTATACGCTTTATACCTACGTTATAAGTTTCTCCCGGCTTTACTATATATCTAGCTTAAAGGCCGGTAGTAAAGTTAATATCCGGACGTATAATATAGGCTAGATAGATAACCTACTTAACTTTAGAAGTATAAATAGTAGTAAACTTATCGTTATCCTTATCGCTGTTAAGGTAGAGTATTATAGCCTTTACGGCTATAAGGTCGGTTAACGTTTTATATAACTTACTATTAACGAAGCCGATATCCTTTAAGATCTTATAGATATATATATCTTAAACGATAGTAATAAAGTCGTCCGTATTTACAATCTAGACCTTTAGGAATTACTCCGCCTCCTTTAGGTCCTTAATAGATAATAAGGTTACGATATCTTTAATAAAGGCCTCGCTAGCCCTCCGATCGGCGTAAAAGATAAGGAAATTATCTACGAAGGAAACTAGAATTATACCGGATTTCCGGTTAATATATACGGCCGTATCCGATACGAGCGGTTTAAACCTAATCTTAGCCGCTTCCTTATAAACCCTCTCTTACTAGTTATACCCCGCTTACTTTAAACCGTATAACGGTAGTAATAGCTATAAGACTTTACCCTTTTACTACTTATAAGCCTTAACCTCCTCTAGATAATCCTCGAAATACTCGTCGAGTATTTCGAAAGGCTTTATAAATACCTTTTCCTTAAGGGGTACTCCGTTAAGGTAGGCGAGTTCGAAGTTAATCTAAAGTACGTACTAGTACTTAGTTACGGCTAGGGTAAGTAAGATTCGCTATAAGGAAGACCTCGCCGTAAAGGTAAAGGTCTCGTTATAATTAATCCCTTTCCTTTAGCGGAAGCCGCGCGCTACGATATAGGCCTTAAACTTCTCTACCTCGCCTACCGAGTTAAGCTTCTTCTTTATTACCTACTTACTATCGAATAGTACTATACCGTATAGCGTAAGCTTATAAGCGTCCTCCCTATTAAGGAAAGTAAAGGTACCGCGCCGTAGTATATTAGAGATTTCTAAGTAGATACTTTACTTCTACTACTCCTACTCGCCGGAGCGCCGTACCTCTATAATCGGTAAGACTAACCCTCTGTAATAGGCGTAAAACTCCTAGTCCTCTAGAAATACGTCCGGCTAGCTAAGGAGGTAATAAAGCTAAGTATTATCGCCGGTTTATAACTCGCCTTAAGGATCCTCGTTTATTTAATTATTACCGGCTTCCCCGGCCGGAGAAGACTCCCCTATAAGGCTAGCCGTTAGTAAGTCGACTTAATCTTATAGTATAGAAGTATTATAGGCCTTTAAAGTAGCGAACGTTACGGCCTTAGTAATCTAAACCTACCCTATAGGAATTATATCCGTGGCTACGGCCCGGCGCCGTTTTTAGTTAAGTATCCGCCTCTATATATATTCTGGTAACGACCGAACTACCGGCTTATTAGCCTTTTTACCTTCGTTCTACTCGCGGAGCTCTTTATAAAAAATAAGGTTCGGCATAATTATTATCTTCTTAGCCTTAATAGCCTAAACCTTATATATATAAAACCCTATATATCCTAGTAAGATACCCTCTTATCCGCGGGGGTTTATCTTCTAGGACTATACTCGCTTCTCCTTCTTAATATATACGAAGACTTTAACCCTTAAAATCTTTTTATTCTTATTAAAAGGCCGGTTATTACGACCGGGGAAGATATAGTCCTACTAAGCTTAGTAGAGGACCTTTCCCTTAAGTACCGTAGTATAAGTAGTATTAAGGAGATCGACCGCGGCTTTAAGGATATAGTTTTAAAATACTACTAGAATACCTATCTAGATCCTTATCCGCCGTACTATATCCTATACTACGCCGATATACCTTTCGGCGGTACCGTTCTAATACTAGTAATAAAAGGCTAACGGATTAATCTAGATTCCGTACTTAACGGTATAGTCGTTACACTTTTTATCGTTATACTCCCCCCCCTTATTAATACGGATCTAGGTTAGCCGATCGGCGGTCTCCCTAGCGATTTCCTCGAGCTCCGTAACGAGAGTTACTTATATATCCTTCTTTTCCTTAGTAAAGAAGATAAACCTACGGCGCGTAACGTTATCTACGATTATTACGAAGTACTTATAGTTATTAACGGAGATAGGCCTAATTATACTTATATCGATATAAAGGCTACGCCCCGGAATAAACTTACGCTACTATAAGTCTTTAAAGGTAATTTTATAGTTAAGGCCGAGATCGTATACCTTATACGGCACCTCTATAAGGTCCTTAGGGTCGATAGGGATACTATCCGTAAGTTAGATCGTCTTACGGAAACGCTCGAGGCCGGGGTAGCCGAAGCGCCGATACTAGAGTTACTAGAGCTCCGTATTTAATAGTATAAGCTTCTTACCTTCCTAACAGGGCTTATCCGCGCCGAATAACTATAAGTAGAAGCCTCGCTTCTTAATATCTACGAGCGTTACTACGGAGCTATCGGGGTCCGTAATCTTATCTTTATTTAGATAGCCGCTAGCCTTATAAAACCGCTCGCCTAAGAAGATATTTAGCGGGAACTTATTAATTAAGATAGTATAGTTTAATATAACTATCTTATAGCTTTTATCGGGGCCGATTAAGACGACCTCCGCCCTACTAACGTATATAAAGTATACTACCCCGGCCCTTATACGGACTACGATCTCCGTCGTATATTTAATATAAAGGCCGGCCTTAAACTACTTACGGTCGTTAATAGTATATAAATCTATACCTATATTAAATAACTACCTATCGCGCTAAGCTAACGAGCTAGAACTTACCGAGAGCGACTACGAGACTATAAGTTTAAGCTTTAATATACGTATTTAACTAAGATTAAGGACTTTTAATTAAGAACTTTCTACGGCCGCGCCGTAAACGGCGGCCGCCGCGCCGGAGCGCTAGGGTTTATTATTAATTAAGCCTAGTTAACGTCGATCGGGGCTAATAGCTAACCCTTTTTTAAAGTCGTTAAATATAACTATAAGCGCTGCTACGCCGTTAAGGGTAATCTACGAAGCGTAGGCGTAATCGTTACCTTTAAGTACCTCCGGCTACTCGGCGGCCGCCGAGGTCTAAGTATAAATATAAACCTTACCCCTTAACCCCTTTAACTTACCGAAGTCTCCCCTTAATAAGTAGTACTTAGCCGCCTAGTAGCTAGGCTTACTATACTTATTATAATTACCGTTACGAATAATAGTACCGTCTTTACGCTTTTTAGGTTTAGTCTTACTACCTTTAGCCTTCGGATTAGTTATCTCTTAGTTATAAGACTTCTTCTCCTTATTACGCTTACCCCCGCCGTTACGATTAGACTTACGGGACTTACCTTAGCGGTACTACCGCGAGATAACGGCGTTAATAAAGTCCTCGTAAATCTCTACTATACTAAGGAATATAGATCCTTTAAGGCGGTTACGAATTCTATTAACCTACTCCGGTATAGAATCTTCTACGTTTTTAAAAAAGATAAACCTTTAAATAGTATTATCTATTATAAAGCCGGCGGTTATAAGTTTAGCTACTAGGATAGTAAACTCCTACGACTAGATATAACTATCCGAACTATTACGGAAGGTATACTTACGGAGCTTATCTATAAGGAGTTATTACGCTACGGGGCTAGTATTACGGCGTAAGGGTAGCGTACTATAGGGGTTAGGTTGGATAACTGTTGTTCGACGAGGGGTCGGAAGTCTGGGGCGCGAGGGCCGCGAGAGGTAAGCTCTCGAGGCGTAGGCTAACTCCCGACTACGTAACCTGGCGTTACCTGACCCAGGTTATATAACTATATGACTATGGATACTATAACTAAGGAGTAGGTAAAGCCTGTAATACTTACCTCCCCTCCTCGGTAATT